ACAAGATAGCCTCAAACTTATGACTCAACCACTTTCTAAATACATTTTATTTGCTGCCATATTTATCTCAGTATGACAAAGACCAGTAGCTTTCAACTTTTGCCATCCTGCGATATCTAATGCCCTACGTTACCTCATCTCTAAAAGATAAAACAGTCCACATTTCCATCCTACCAGAAGGGAAAAGTTTTATCAGTTTTCTTTTGTTTTCTTTATTTCTTAAGTTCAATGATCAGGCTCTTGACTGCCATCTATGATTCATGAGAAATGCAAACCAGGGAAAAGCAACGGCAACGCAAAGCGGGCAGAGGACAAGGTGTTTATGAGGAAGCTAAGGGGATCTGGAGGAGGGAAAGAACTAGAAAAAGAAGCTAGCAGTAAGGTGTATGCTGCTCCAGTCATTGGAGATCACCCTAATGAGCTAACTTGGCCTCCAGAAGGTCACGATCTTTGCTTTCAGAATCTCAAAAGATCAATAAAATACATCTAAATATAAAGACCATATTTTGATTTGTTTTAGGTACAGGATAATTTCATTTTTAAAGAATCTCAAGAGAAGTAGAATGACATAGTGGGTAAGGTGCCAGTTCCAGAGTTGGGAAGATCTGTCTCATACTTGCTGGGCAACCCTGGTCAAGTGACTTAATCTCTTGGGGCCCAAACAACCCTTTAAGAGTCTAAGTTACAGAGTAAGTAGAGATCTACATTGCCAGAGAGTTCTTCACCAGGAATTCCCTATATCTATTAATCAATCAAGTAATAAGCATTTATTAAGGACCTAGTATGCACCAGGCACTGGGGAAACCAAGACAAAATGAAACAGTTTCTGCCTTCAATGAGCTTACATTCCATCAAAGTCTGGGCAAAAAAAGAAAGAAAGAAAGAAAGAAAGAAAGAAAGAAAGAAAGAAAGAAAGAAAGAAAGAAAGAAAGAAGGAAAGGAAAGAAGGAAGGAAGAAAGAAAGAAAATAGATTTCAAGTCATAGGTATGCTCTTTTCACCTCTGCCATGGATATCTATAACACCCAATCCCCACTGGGCTCTCACATCTAAAGCTTCAGTCCTGGGGTCCTAAGGACCCAGCCATGAATTCTGGGAAGATAGGGTTAGTTCCTAGAGTCATTATTCCTTTCCATGTTGTGGAAGTAGAGGGCCTGTTTCTTCTCTAAAGATGTGACCCAGCTAATGCAAGTCTTGGCTACCATCCAATATCACAACATGAAATATTCAGAAGTATCATCATCATCCTCTAAGTATCCTACTCAGCATGCACAATTCAAATCAATTCAATTCAGCAGACATCTATTATGTGCCTACATTAGGCCAAGCACTGGGCTAGGCACTAAAGATACAAAATGGAAAGAAAAAAAAAAAGACATGATTCCTGCCTTCAAGGACCTTCCCACCTATCAGGAGAAATACACTATGTATTGCAATTTATGGTACATGAGGAAGAGTACTTGATTTGTAGTCAGATGACTTGGGCTCCATCTCCTGTGTCACTGGGTAAGTCTCTAAACCTCTATAGGCCTCAATTTCCTCATATACCAAATGAAAAAGTTAGAGTAGGGGTGGGGAACCACAGTCCATGCAGCCTTCTAGATCCTTAAGTGTGGCCTGTTGACCAAATGGATTGGCCGAAGGTTCCTCCTCTCTGAGTTAGACTCAACGCTCTTTCAGGGCCCTTCCAACAATAAATCTACAGTCCTCTGCAATATGTATAAGACACGATACAGTGTGAGAGGATGAAAGGAGATCTCCAACTAAATCACTCTAGGTAAATTTGATGGAAAAAATGCCATCAGTGGGGGGTAGCACTATGCTACCTATGGAGACTGACTAACTATTAATTAAAAGAAACATTTCCTACCTTCCACTCTCAAATGAATTTTAAAGTAAGGGTCAATTAAGTGAGCCTTCACTCATTTTAATGCAAACTTTTTTTTTAATGTATTATTAATTTTTAACATTCCTTTCTTTTTAAATTTTAGGTTTCAAATTTTCTCCCTCCCTCCCATGCCCTCCCCCATACATTGAGAAGGCAAGCAATAGGATATCAATTATATATGTGAAATCATGCAAAACATATTTCTATATTAGCCATATTTCTTTTTTAAAAAAGGCAAGAAAAATTAAGAAAGTGAGAAAATTATACTTCAATTTAATGCAACTTATTTTTGCATATTGTCTTTAAGGCTGTACATATCTGGTTAAAGGCCAAATCTGGAAATGGAAATTCTCAACACTAACACTGATAAACACTTATCATAATAGAGTCTTATGGTTTGCAAAGAATTTTCCATGCATTATCTCATTTGATCCTCACAATAACCCTGAGAGGGAAGAGCAGTTACTATTCCCATTTTACAGAGAGATTAAGCATTTGCCCAGGGTGACGCTGGTCATAAGTAGCTGATGCATGATTCTGATCCAGGGTTAGATTTCCTGACACCAAGTCTAGTGCCCTATCTACTAGTCAGCACTGCCTTATTAACCTTCACTGTCTTAGAAAGTAGACAGGAAATCATACTAGGAGGGATGTGTAAATTCCGCAGTGAACCAGCCTGTCTACAAATAGGCGAATGGCTTACAGAGACTGCCCTTATCCATGGAATGGTTAAGGAAAAATAGTAGGCAGATTACTCTGGGCTACAGAACCTTCTGGTCACAGAAAGATGCCTTCACTAACATTTAGTTGAGTGGGCTTGAAAATCATCCTTCCATTTTTAAAACCTTTTAACCTCCCTAAGATGACTTCAGTCCTTCCAGAGTTTCCACAGCCCTTTGCATTCCAGAGTCTGAAATGCTTTCTGGAAGATTAAAACAAAACAAAACTAAAACGGAGAACCAACAAAGCCCTACATGAGACACAATTCCAAGTTACAGCAAAGCATTCAACGGAGACATTCTTGTGTGTGCTGTCACCATCAAGAGACGGGAAGCCTTGGATAATCCAACCCATTGGCAAACAAAGGAACTCCAATTGTCTGGGCACAATATCCACCAAGTAAATCGCTATTCATTTCTTCTTTCTAACCTATTGATCTGCTGGAAATACAGTCAGAATTGCTGATGAAATTACAGAGCCCAGTAATGCAGGTTGGCTCAATCATTCCCTTATGTCTTTCAGGCCCAGCTAAAGTTCCAAAGTAGAACCTGTTTTACATTTGTGTTAGCATTTTAAATACCATAAGATACTAAAGGACAGTGTGCAGGGACTCCTTCTTCCAACCACCAATGACTTACTAGATAAATCTAGGGAGTTGCAAGAGATTACTACAGAGATTCATAGATTTGCCAAGGATTCCACAGGTGGTTAGTATCAGAGACAGGATCTGAACCTAGGTCTCCCTGACTCTTTGCCCAATATTTTAATGCAATGCATTTTAAATATGGATTCTAAAAATCCCCTCTGAATAGCATTGTATTATGATTGGTGTCATATACCTGATGAGTAGTTTGTGGGGTTTTTTTTAAATTAGTTTGAATTTTCATTCCAAATTTCAAAAGAAGGTAAAGAGATATGCTGGGCTAAAATTAGGTAAGCTCAATTAAATGCTTGTATGTAAGATGAACAAACTCTATTGGGCGTGCATTTCATTTCAAGTTACTAGGATTTTGTTCTTGCATTTGCTAATAATTCCATAATTCTGGCATTTAAAACACACTACACAGGGAGATGAAGAGAATTAGCTAGTCAGGCCACACACATGAGGATATGGACAGATTAGTATAATATCCCATCATGTGATTTTCCATTCAGAAAATATCTTTTGGCTACTTTGTTGGCAATTACTTAGGATCCTGGACTTCAATAGGGAAGCGATCATAGAATTACTTTTGTCTAATACTCTGATTTTGCAGATTGGGAAGGTGAAGACCAAGTAACTTAGTTACTTGCCCAAAGTCACACAGTAATAAGTGTCAGTGACAGGATTTAAACCCAGGTTGTTCTCCGAGTATAAATTTTCAGTGACTTTGTTTCCCTTGTGTTGACTCAACCAAAAAATACTATTTTAATGTCCACTTAATAATATAAAGAGGTGACATGACATAGTGTATAGAAGACTGGCTGCAGAGCCATGAAGACTTGGGTTCAAGTCCTGATTCAGTAACATACAGGCTCTGTGAACAAAGCTAAATCACTTAGCCTCTTAGTATCCCAAACAGCTCTCTGAGACTATATGTTGTAGATGAGTTACTGATCATTCAGATTGGTGGAGAGAATTGTTACACCAGAAACTCACTGATAAAAGAAAAAAGGAAAAGAGGAAGGAAGGAAGGAAGGAAGGAAGGAAAGAAGGAAAATTGTAAATGCAAAGACCAAAAAATAAAAATAAAATAAAAGGTTCCCTTTTTAGAAAATGATGGCTGATTTTAGCCTACAAGTCCTTTGCATGCAATTAGAATCCTAGTTCAGTTTATAGACATTGTCTCAAAGAGCAATGTTTTTCATAACTTGTACACTGTACAAATGTGCGCAGAACTGCATGCAGCCTATATTGAGAAGAATACACAGTGAGCATATTCAAATGAACACACATGCGCATCTAGAAGAAGAAACTGAAGTCGGTAATAAGATCACTCCTCAACCAAATGCCACAATGTGATAATGTAGTGACTGGTGGGTTAATTATAACTTATGCAGGAAGCAGCCCCGGTTGGCTTGTGAGTTTAAATGTATGTATATGTATATATACGTGTATAAGTGTATGTGTATATATGGTTGACTCTTGTCCTTCATTCTCAAAGAGAATCAAAATGACATCATTACATCGGGATCAAGGTATAGTGTGTCCAGCAGTGGTTGATCAAACCAATATAGGCTCAGAAGGCTCTATCACAGGTTGGGCACAAACAGTCCTCATATATATATATAAATATATGTACATATACACATGTATGCATATATATACACACACACAGGTATGCATGTATACACGTATATCTAAACATACGTGTGTATATCAAAATGTGATTATTTTAGAATGAATCAAATACCTGATAGCTTCATAAGAAGCTCTGATGCTGCTTTGACAGACATATCCCTCCTTAGCCCTTCCTGTGGCTTCATCGTGTCCTCGGGGAGGCTGGAGGCTGACACTTCGGATCCCGGCCTGAACACATAGCTGGACTGAGGCAATGTGGAACTCAGAACTTCCTCGTCCTTCGGCTCCTCTTTCACTTTCAATGTAAGAGTCATGGGCTCCTTCTGATTTGCCGCTGTCAAGGAAGAGGAGGAAAGTAAAGCAAATAGGTAAACAAACAAAAAGGAAACCCAGAGACATCCTAGAACTGAATGGGATGCAGAACCCCTAAACATAGGGCAGTGAGGAAGCAGAGGAAGCTAGGACTTAACCATAACAGACCAAGTATCAGGCACAAACACATAAAATGTTCCATTAATGAAGGGATGTGGGGAGTGAGAGTGCTTTTTCATCCTTTAGAGATTTAATAATTTCAGAGGTGTTGCCTACTCAAAAAATGTAGGACAATTTCTCTTTGTGTCTCTAAATGGCATCTTTCCTGTGAATGCTACTAGATCTCCTAGTTCTAACAGTCTAAACCTAGAAGCCAAAGACCATGTAGACAATAGTCCATAAAAGCTGTTGTCTGCCTTAAAATGTCCTAATGTATTCATGAGGGGGCAATAATACCAACTCCAAAGGGGAAGAGGGCAGTGACAGGATAGAATGGTGAATAAATTAGCCAAACAGAAAAGGAGAAACAAAATGTTATCTTTCTAAATGCAGAGGGCACTACTGATCTATCATTAGCAGGCATACAGAATTTGAACTGTTCTTCCAGAAGTCATGTTGGGATCCACCTCTCTGACTTTGTAGACAACAAACATTTTCAAGACGCAAGGCCTCATCACTCAAATGTATAGCCATTCCCCAACTGATAAATGGCCATAGGATAAGACCAGGCAGTTTTCAGAAGAAGAAACCAAAGCTATCAAATGCTCTAAATCATTTTTGATTAGACAAAAGCAAATTAAAACAACTCTGAGGCACCACCTCACGACTATCAGACTGGCTAACATAATAGAAAAAGAAAATGACAAATGTTGAAAGGGATATTGAAGAATAGGGACACCAATGTCCTGTTGGTGGATTTGTGAACTAGTCCAACCATTCTGGAGAACAATTTGGAACTATGCCCAAAAGGCTATAAAACTGTGACCTTTGACCCAGCAATTCCACTACTAGGTCTGTACCCCAAGGAGTTCAAAGAAAAAAGGAAAAGACGTATAGATACAAAAATATCTACTGCAGCTCTTTTTATTGTGTTGAAGAATCAGAAACTGAGGGAAATGTCCATCAATTGAGGAATAGCTGAACAAGTTGTGGTATATGATTGTGACAGAATACTATTGTGCTATAAGAAATGATGAGCAGGATGGTTTCAGAAAAAATCTGGGAAGACTTACACAAATTCACACAAAATGAAGTGAGAAGAACCAAGAGAACATTGTACGAAGTAACAGCAATGTTGTAATGATAATCAACAGTGAAAGACTTGGCTACTCTGATCAATACAATGATACAAGACAATTCCAAAGGACCTATGATGAAAAATGCTATCCACTTCCAGAGAGAGAGAGAGAGAGAGAGAGAGAGAGAAACAAGTGATGAACTCTGAGTGCAGATTGAAACATACTTTTTCACTTTCCTTATGTTTCTTGCTTTTTCTTTCTTTCCTTTTTTTTTTGGCAACATGGTTAAATGGAAATGTTTTGTGTGATTTCATATATATAATTGATATTATGTTGTTTACCTTCTCAATGCGGGGGGCAGGAGAAAATTTGGAACTTGAAAAAATTTTAAATGAATGCCAAAGAAAGATAGATAAAAGCAAAAAGAGAAAATGTGTAGTGGAGTTGAAGGTGCAAACAGAGTCACAGAATAGGACAAAAGTGAGTGAACTTGGCTCTTCAGTGTCAGAAATTCACCAACTTGGTCAATCCAATACAAAGTAGAAAAAAAGGTAAGCAGGTGAAAGGTAAGCAAATCTATTTTAACCTCATGATATCACTTACCATTTTCAAAAGGATTTTATGGTTGGAAAGTGAGAAAGGCATGAAATAGTGAGTGGAAGGCCAGCCTTAGAATAAATCAGAAGACTTGTGTCTAAATCCTTCTTCTGACAAATAATTGCACGATCGTGAGCAAATCACAGCTTTGTATCAAGTCTTAGTACCCCCAGGCAACTCCTTAAGATTCTATATTAATGAGAAGTTATCAATCTACTTCAGTTAGGGAGTTTTCATACTGAGAAATCATAGGTCTGAACCTCCCAACTCCACTACAAATACTTAAAATGGCTATAAGGTAACTTAGAGGTGACCCAGTCCAACTTGTAAGCATAAACGTCCTCTATGATATCCCTGACAAGAGGCCAATTAGTCCCTGCTTGACTGACCCCTTATTGCAGTGAAGATCCTTAAAACATCCCTGATGGCTTTTTACTTGGTTTAATAATGCTTGTTTTATTTTATTTTTTTGAGGAAGAGGATTTTGACTAAGACTTTGGCAGTTCCTGGGATACAATATTCTCTAAGAGCCCCATTCTCTTTTTTATCAGAAAGGGAAACAAACCCCTTTCTCAACCTCTAAAGTCTAAAGACAGGCCCACAAACTTCTCTTTCTAATTGCCTCTCCCAGACTCTCAACACACAGAAACAGAAAGAATGTTTGTTACCTATCTGCTTCTCAAGACCAGATTTCCATGTTGTAATGAAATAAAAGCATTGCAATGAATAAAATACGAGTAATAGGTTTCCAAACAACCTGCATGTAAATTCTGGAAATGACTTGAAACCCCCAGTGTATCATAGCAAGAATCACTGGAAATGCTTGGGGAGGCCACCACGGACATGATCAAAACCTTCATAAGAGGACCCTCCAAGATTAAGCTTGAAGCTTTTCAACAATGGACAACAAAGGACACAACTCAACTGTCTTTGGAGCAACCACATTTCTCATTAGGCTTTATCACTGCTAATGGAAAAGATGCCAGAAAACTTCAAGAAGGTAACTAGAACCCATCCCTCTGGCAACAGCGTTATCAGGAACAGGATAAGAGGGAGCAATGTGGTCATGGAGATCAATGCTATATCTCTCAAATGGGAGTGTTCCCTCTGCAGCTACTCTCTTTCTTGGTATTGTTTTTGACTATGTAAACCTTCCCAATCTCTGACAAGCAACACAATGATAAGAAGAAGAAGAAGAAGAAGAACAATAATAACAATAACAATAACAACCAACATTTATATAGCACTTAATATGTGCCAAGCACTGTGCTAATTATTTTTATTAACTTATTTGATCCTCACAACAACCCTGGGAGGTAAGGGGCTATTATGATCTCCATATGAGGAAACTGAGGCTGAGAGGTTAAGTGACTTGACCAGGGACACACAGCTAGTAAGTGTCTGAGGCCAGCTTTGTACTCAGGTCTTCCTGACTCAGAATCTAGAACTCTATCAATTGTGCTACCTAGCTGCCTACTACCATATGGTACAGTGGAAAAGGTTCTAGGTCTGATGTTCAAAGAACCTGAAAGTGAATTCCAATTCTGCTATATACTTACTTGTGTGACATTGGGCTAGTAACTCAACCTCTCTGGGCCTCAGTTTTCTCATCTATAAATTAAGGGTGTTGGACTAGATGACCTCTAGTATTCATTCCTTCTAGTTATAAATCTATAATCCTAAGAACAGTGAAGGGCCCTTGCTGACCATCACCTGAAGGAAGCAATGCATGTTCTATCTGTGGTCTTCTTTCTAGAGCCAAAAATTTAGAGCTGGAAGGGACCTCACCACTAACTCAATCTGTCAGTCAATAAGCATTAGTTAAGTGTTTACTACGTGTTGGACACTGTGCTAAGTACTAGGGATATAAAGAAAGTAAAAACAGCCCTTTCCTTTGAGAAGCTTACATTCCAATGGAGGAAGACAACATACTGCACAAGCAAGATACACGGGGTAGATGGCAGTCATCCAGTATACCCCCTTCCTTTTAGACATGGGGAAAATGAGAAAGGCATTGTCCAAGAAACCAAGCTCATATTTGCCTCCAGACTCATTGACTTAAAAGCCAACAAACTTCCAACTGAATAACCTTGCTTTTCCCAGTTCCTTCATACTTTATTAGAATCCCAATAAGTTAACTCTTAAAGGTAAAGAAAATGCTTTAAATGGATATGTACTTTTATATTGTCACTTTATCTCACTCTTGGGGAAAGAGGTGGAGAAGAATAGTGGGAATAGTGAAAAGATAATACATAGCTTCAAGTCTAGACTCTGCTGATTACTAGGTATGTAGCTTTGGATAGGTATCCCTTCTCTGAATATCAGTTTTTCTCCTTCATGAAATGAGGTGTTGGACTACATTGATCCTTCTAAGGTCCCTTTCAACCCTCACATTTTGTGATACCATGATTTCATTTTGAAAAAAAAATCTCTGCTGTGATTATTCCATTTTCCCTTTACCATTCTTTCACTGCAAAATATTCCTTTCTAGTAATGTTCTAGCAGGAGTAGGGAACCCGTGGCTGAAGTTTGGATTCAGTCAAAGGGCCGCACTTGAGGACATAGAGGGCCATATGTTACCTCGAGGGTGCAGGTTCCCCATCCCTGTCTAGAGCAAGAATTGGAAAGCAATTAGAAATTATAAGAATACTGGAAGCAAATCCTAATTTCTAAAGAAGGTGTTAAATGGTGTTACATGGAGGTGTTATATGGAAGCGATGACAACATATAAGTGATTTTAGGTTCTTTATTATTTTGGAAGAAGAATGATCTGTAGAATTAGACAAAAAAGAAAAACAAAAAAATTTAGCATCATTAAGTTCACAAAGAATAATGAAGACTTTGGCAGGTCTAAATAAATAAATATATGTATATATTTTTTTCTCTTTAAACCTTCAAAGATTTCAAAATGGATCAACATCAAATTTTCATAACTTAAAATAGGAATGACCTTATAATATGGCAGAATGCAAAGGGCTCCATTATGCCCTAAAAGAGGTGGTGGTCCTAGCAAAATCTTCATTTCTTAATTTGCCATTTACATTCATTTAAAAGATTTTTTTTTGCCAAATTTACCTAAAACTGGAGTGAATAATTTGTGTCTAAGTACAAGTTTGGAATGTTGTATATCTGGAGAAACACTTCTAATGCTTCAAAAACTAACTACCTGGGTCACTGTCATCATCAA